CATTTGCAGTTGCCCCCACCTGAGTGGTGTCATCTCATGCAGTGTTAAGCTCCTCTCCAAGCATAGCCCAGAGCCTACATCTGGTCAGTGCGCCTTAAAAATAAACAAAAACACTCCTGCCTCAGTTTGAAATCTCTCTGACTTGCCTTAATTTGAAATTGCCTCACAGTTTTGTTTAGGACAAGTGGAGACCTCTGTCTTAACAGCATCATAGTTCAATCTCTTTCTCTGCCTAAGCCTGCTTCACTCACCCAAGTTCTCCAACCCTTTGCATATTAATCTCTTCATCCGAATCTGTCTTCTTGTGCAATTAGCCTATCACTGCTCGTGTTGACTGTGCTGTGATCTCTTGCTTGTCTCCCTGACTCTACTCTTGCTCTTCTGGTGCCTTCCCCACACTGCATCAAAAGTGACCCTACTAATATCCCACTTAAGTCTGAGGAATCCTTGCTAAAGATAGTATTATAGATTCCAGTCACAGTTAGGTGAGACTTCAATGTCTTCTACATTATAATATAAATGAGAGGTCAAAAAGTAGGCCTGTGTAATAAATTCCTGAACCCCAAACCCCTGACATGTCGTAGGTACTTAATGTTTTAAAATAAATCAATGATTGATCATCTACCCTATGCCTTAACTCCTTAATAATTAATAGTGAAAAGAACTACTAGACTAGAGAGCTAATCTTAATTTCTACTTTGTCTAGAATTAGTTGCATGACTTTGGGCCACTCTGGAAGAATTTTGCAACCAATAGAATTAGGAGGTTTTTCAACTAGATGATTTCCAAGGATTCTACAAATATGACATTCTGTAGTGCTTACATCTACCAAATTATTGATCAGCTTGTGTCTGAGCTCACAGATGAGCAAATGAGGAATATAAAAAAAAGTTTAAAAGTGATCAATAAATATATTAATTTTGTATGAATTCTAAGTACTGCCCAAATGAGAAAAGTCCTCCCCTGCCTCTCTCCCCATCACTCCTTGAGTGTTGAATTGAGCATCTAGAATATGTGCCAACTACATAAAGTTCTAGACAGAGGTTAATGTCTTCTTGATAGAGCAAAGCCAAAAAAACAAAACAAAACAAAACAAAACTGTTCAGTATGGGCTAGCTTGTAAACACTGAGATATAATTTGCTTATCTGTAGAAAGTCACAGTGGTCAAACCATATATTGCTATGTGAAACTATTTTTCTTATCAAGTGAGTCAACATATAGATGTTCACTTGTTTGAGAAATATGTAAATTTCATGTTTAAAAAAAAGGCACCAGTTAGTCTTACCTGCATATAATTTAACAAAACAAAATTCCTATCAAAAAAAATTTGAGTACCATCTGTTGTGCAATAAATGTTAAAAGGCTAAAAATACCTCCTCAGTAAATAGAATTTCAATATCCTATAGAGCAGTCTTCCAGAGTCAAGACAATTTCCCTTTCCTAATTTAGTAGTCTTTAACACAATAAACAATCTTAAGTAATACTTCATTCTTAAGCTTAGTAATAAATGTATATTGCCACAAAAATAGCAATGGAATTCCAGGGACTGAAATATACTACCTCTGGGTACTTTGACTCAAGGCAGCTGAATATATTAAGGCTAAGGCGATGAATGGTTTCGGAACTGCTAATGACCAAAATGAATGCTCATTGCCATGCTATGACAGATGTGTTAGTCTCCAAACACAGTAGTAACTATGTGTTGATTGCTGTGGTAAGAAAGAAATACAATCATAGCAGCTGGAGGTGTTACTCTTAATCATGTATGTGATCTTTCTTGTCTGCTTTTCACATAGGAGTTGAATGCCAGGGGGAACATTGTGGTGGAGAGAAAGTGACCTTCAGAGTCTCCCCACTTCACTTTCAGAGTCTTTCCCTCTGTGAAAAATGTAAGTAAGGCATG